GTAAAAAAGACCGCTAGAGACAACCTCACCGTCTGTTTTGCCCTTCAGTGATTAAACTGAAGTAACTAAGAATCCTGAGCTTCCTGTTTCACACGCTCTGCTCCTCCTAATCACCGCCCCTTTTACAGGCTCATCTCCGGCCGCTGTCAACGCCCTGGAAGCCGAACGCAGGCAGTTGCAAGAGGAATTGGATCGCCGCCTGGCCGAATGCAACAGTGCTCACTCGAAGTCGATTGCCGAGTTGGAGAGTGCGCGAGATGCCCTAACGGTCAAGCTTACAGATGCCGAGACGCGCTCAACCCAGCTGGGAACGGAGTTGGATGCAATGACGCAGCGTTTCCGAACAACGGTAGGTCATTATTTTCTCCTGCGCCTCCCCTTCCTTATTTAACTGTCTGTAGTTCAGAGTGTGACCTTCTTACATACTTATAGGATCGCTTTTTGAACGAACAACTCCAGGAACGGGAGCAGGAGCGCGAAGAGTTCCAAACGCGCATAGATCTTTTATCCGGCCAGATCGGTGAATTGAGGTAAGTATACGTGTACACTATCATTGTTTTTTTCTTCAGGAATGTATCACAGTTATATTTAGGGTCCACTACAGCGTATTATTTGCCTAACTGTCTACTTATCTCGTAGCAGTAGGCATGCTTTGTTTTACTAATTTGGTGTCGGCTGTTTCCCAAGTATGACGCAGTCCTTTTCGTTTAGTTTGCTTTTACTTCGTTTATTTTAGTTTCCATTTTTTTGGCGACATGCGGTGGCTTTTTGATCTAAAAGATATTGCGAGTTTTTAAAAAAATGGAAAAAACAACAACATAGGCAATAAGTTGATATATGGCTTGTATAGAGTTAATATAGAGTCCACAATTATATCCAATTGGGCTCTATTGGATTTTAGTATTCATAGGATGTATTCACTCTGCCACCACACCTAAAACTATCTGTGCGCTGTGATCAGGTGGTGTATGGTTGACTGCACTGGCATGCAGTCTAAGGCTGTAAGAGCTGGGATCCGCGCCGCTACTTCTATCCTCTTGCGAAATATTGGCCAAGCGACATCGTAACCAGGTAGTGTATGATTGGTATAGTGGCACCAAACCTCGGGCTGTATGAGCTGGGACCCGTGCTGCTGCCCATATCCTCCAGTTATTGTGTTCACATCCTCGTAAATTGTTTGCTATCGATCAGGGAGTTTGGTTGTACGCTTAGGTGCGGAATTCATCGTGCCAGCTTCCTGCGCCCAATCCCGCCTCCGATCTTCTTGACATCCTGCACGGGCGGGTGAGGGAAGAGAGAAAGTGTGGCAGATACTGTCACCCAAAACTACTTCACGCGCAAGGCTGTACAGCACGCAGTAGTTATTGTCGAACTACCATCAGCCCATGCGTATTGAGGTTAGCGTCTTCCCCTTCGTGGAAGAATGCTTGTGTTGGTGTGCTAATGGCTGGCTAGCCAGCATCCGAGCCGTCAATCGGCGAAATGTCAACACCCGTGTTGGATTTTTGCGTAATAATTACTCACTGACACCTGCCCTGGCAACACTGTTTGCCTACGCGCTCCCCTCACGAAAGGTGACGCGCGCGTGAGCCGCATGACGTGGCTAGCTGGCTTTACTCACGCCTGACTCAACCACCCTCTTCATGAAAATTTGGATATAGGCGAGTCATTCACAGTCGCTCAGATTAGGGCTGCCTCTGCTAGCGCTTTAAGTCCAGAACCTAG